GAGATGTGGAGAAAGAAAGGAAAAAAGAACCAAAAATAAAAAATGAATTAATAAGTAATTAAAATTAGAAGAATACAAATAGAGACTTATAGGTGTGTTCAGCTCGGAGTTTCACTTAGAACTGGAAAATCTGGGTAAGGTTAGGTATTAGGAAAATTGGTTGACCTGTTTTGGTAATTGTGAGAGTTTAAGTAGTAAAAGTAAAAAAACTAGAAAATACGGTATCTAGATTTTGAAGATATGGATGGATACAAGGGAAAAATATTATATCTACGAAAAAACAAATTATAAATATATTTACAAAACCGAAACTCTTTTCAATCCAAAAGTTTAAGACTGATAACAAAACCTTTCTAGTACCTAAATAACAATACTGTACACATCTCCTAAGTCTGTAATGGATACAAAAATAAAATTAAAACGAGGTGACCTCCGTAGATATGCCATGGAAGCAACTGAAAAAGAACTGGATGAATGATCTTCTTTGCTGGATTGATGAAGTAAACAAAGGCCAAAAAGAGGTGCTTCTGCAGTAGTCTTACTCATTAAAAAATTTAAAAACAGCACATCTACTTGTTGTCAGGGCAGGTGCGAATTTAGGCTTCATGCCTATTCATGGGATGAAAAATAGTGTATAGTATACAAAAAAATCTATTAAAACTCTTTTTAATATACATTATATCTGTATCAGTATAACATACATAAACATTTGCTGTGAGTCAATTGAATATATATATATATATATATATATATATATTCCGACGTTATGTTTCGTAGGGATGTCTATATGAGTATATTTATACATAGGTTTCGGTGCGTGTACTAAAGTTTAACCCCCTCTTTCCCATCTGTTGCCCCCACTCCAGGTTAAATACTTCAGTCATCCTCAAATTGGTATCTAAATCAGTCGCAAATGAAAGAACGAACCAGTAATTAGATACAGTAAAAGTACCTTTATTCGGATATTGTTTGACTTATAAGATTAATTATGGTTTAAAGTCCTTGATAAAGACCCCTTTTTATCAAATTATTTACATCCGACTGAAATTTCTTGAAAAGCTTTATCTCATCCTAACCTGCAATTTTATTTTATTTACGAAATTTTCGGAATTGGAGCTTTTTCAATCTGAAGATCTGAGAAATTTGTCTATTTAATTAGGAACTGAAAACTCATATAATACACATTTTCTTTATACTTGAATCGTATGATAATATGATCACAAAATCGGAAAAAAGGTGGCACACAAAAACATTAGGGCGTTTGGCCTATATGACCTCATTATCTTAACATTTTAAAGATAGAGATCAAGCCAAACGGCCTAATATTTTTGTAGGCCACCTTTTTTTTTTTTACTTTGTTCTCATATTATCTTACAATCCAAGATATTTTTTATATAGACAAAGTGATTAAGTAAATGAAGTACATATTAAAAATCAAGATTTAATCTATTGTCGGATATGTATTTGTACTAACTTGAAAATAATTCTACACACCCGGAACGTCAGGAATAATAATAAAATATAAATAAGAAGACTTTTTGGTGAGTATTAGCCTAAACATTTTTTTTATAATTGCACTTTTTTATTTGAAATTGAAAATAATTACAGTCAGCTCATTTGCTGATTGTCAACAAATAGCTGACCATTGAAAAATAATTTTATAATCAATCTAGCCACAATTTTCTGATATTTGATTGTCTGCGCTTCATAAATTCCTTAGTTGTGTTAAGCAGTTCTTTCAGTAACACATTGTTATTAACAATATAAAAAACCATTAAAGAAACGATATAATACTTGTTATATTTCGTAACTAAAGTGCTTTGGATCCCTTATAAATTGTGCTTACAATAAGTGTACGTTAAAGAGATAACATAAAACAATAAATGACTGCGAAACCTATAATCAAATTTAGTTGTAGAAATACATATGGAAAACTCAATAAATTGAAAGAAAAAAAATCGGTTTAGTGACAATTATTATACTACTTATATTTTACTATCGATTATTGTTTTGTTTTTTAAATTTAAATATTTATTATCACTTCACGACATATTAATTTTTAAAAACTATCGACATATATAATAACTGAAAGCGACTAATCAGACTTCAGTGTAAATAACCCCAGTGGTCGAAATACACACACAAATAAATAAATATTTATTTGCACCTGCCTACTATTAAACTATTAAACAATATAAATAATATATAACTTAAATTCCATAAATAAAATATAAAAGAAATTATAGTCATGTAAATATTAAACTATCATACATTATTTATAAACAAGTTAAAAAAGCTATTTGTCTTAATGAGCAAGCTACCTTAACTGGTCGACGTCGATCCATACACTGTCGTCTTAATGTCTTACGGTAGTGGGGAGCCTCTGGTCATATTAAGTAGAATTATTCTCTTGTGCTGTTTTTGTATCTCAAGTATTATTTATCTCAAATAGTTAAGTAACTTAAGTACTTTGTTACTTGAAGTTCAACCGCTAAGTACCGTAATCATGTAAGTATTTTATAATGTTTCCTCTGTGCAATATATATTCTATTTACTTTCGACAATTAAAAGTTTTAGTTTAAAATAATGATTATATTATAAAAATAAATTAAACAGAAAAATTATAACATATTTTAATTATAACAATAATAAATAATATGCTTTATGCTTATTTTAATAGAGAGAAACACTTTATTTTCATAAAAAATATAAAATATAAAAGATTGCTGCCCAATTATATTGGATTGTTATATACACAGCATACTCGTTAATCCGTAGGACAATAAATGAACTTTTTTTTTAACATTTAATTACCCTTTCCCTCACTTCTCTCTCTTTATCTCTATTATTTTTAAATAAAATAAATAATCAGTAAAAGAAGGAAGTAGAATTTGATTTATAGGCGTTTCTTTTACGATTTCCCGGATATTATACTGTTAAGTACCAAGAGAGCAATAAAACAAACTTATAAATTGGAATTATAAAACAATTCCATAAATTCAATGTACTTGTCTGACTTTTGAGACTAGAAAAGTAAATTCATACAAAAAACTTTTAAATTTTCAAGAAATTTTGGTTGTCTGACCATTATCAGTTAATAGTGGAATGGACTCAATAACATTCATTTCAATACAGTACATTAAAATTAATTATCTCCCTTAATACAATCAACAATATAAAATGAACATTTTAATATATTAAAAATTTTAATATGATAGCAACTTTGATCTAATAACAATTTTTATATGATATAATTAAATTGACAGATTTTTTTTTAATTTAATGCAAAATTTAGTTTTCGAGTCACAAGAATCTCTCATAAATGTATTATTTTATATATATATATATATATATATATATATATATATATATATATATATATATATATATATAATATATATATATATATATATATATATATATATATATATACATATATATAACACAAACAAGAATATGAAAAATTATGTTAGGGAAATTTTTCTTTAAAAATCATACAAAAAGACTTTTTATTTTTTAAATTCTTTATATATTTCTCTAGTAAAAACCCACACGTGTCGTCTAATATCAACTGGCTAAGAAACTTTCCATGCAGTGAAAATAGAGCTGAAAAAATAATGCACTTCGTAAAGATGTTTTGTATGAAGGCATGTTACCAAAACGACTTCACCACAACTCCAATAAGCCTGTTAGTTATAGGCATGCTAAAATTTAATTATTAATTCATGCTAAAACGAAGAGACGAAACACCAAATAACTTCTAAATGTTCATTTAAATATTTAATAAATTGTATATACCATTCCAGATCTATTCAAACTAATACAAAATTCATCACCATTTATAAATTGACTCTATTAATTCTCGTCGTTATAGTTTTTCGATTTAACCAAATCAAATAAAGCTAATATCCAATCCAAATATATATTTTTTTGTCGTACAATCTACATTAAACCAACCGATTACAAATTTTAATTAAAAATATTATGTAACATCACAATCTGTGAAAGTTGTAATCATTTTCATATAATTAATGTATATTATATAAAAATATAATTAATATAAGATGTATATTTTATTTATTCAAATTTAGTAATGCTCCTGTGAGTTCAGTATTTGAAAACCAATTCGAAGATCCTGGTTTCGTGTATGGCAGAAGTCGAGAATTTATTTCTTTTCATATCAGTCGAAGGTCGACTGAGGTTAACACTTATTTATTACTTGAATTACACTTATTTATTACAACATTTTCTTAAACATATATTATAAAGCATGTTGAATGTTTCAAAAATATACATGTAAATAAAAAGGATAAAGGAAATTGCATTATAAGAATATAAGATTTCTTTCAGGCATCATTCACTTAAATGAATAACATCTTTGCAGATGTGTTGATATACAAAATTAAATTATAACATTTATATTTTAACATTATTGCCTTTATTTTTGTATGCATATTCAATAAATATCAAGCACATAGACACAGTCTTTGGATGGGCGAGGATATCGCTTCGGCTTCTCCCTAATAATTAAAAGTACAAAAATAAAATCATTCAGTATAGTACTTCAGTGGGAGTCTTAGGCCGAAGAAAAAAAAAAAAAAAAAAACTTATCTTGATGAATTAAATACGTAAACTAGAACCAAATAAGAAAAATCAACTGTATGGCTAGGAGTTACTGTCATAAGCTACTGTCTAGGAGTAGGTACGCAAGTATTTCACCTCGTCCTCTGTTTCTATTTTTAAAATTTTAACTTATTTCCAAAGATAATTATATGTAGGAATTCATATTATACATATACTACATATTCTAGGATTTCATGATTTATTCATTTAGAATTCGTAGCGAATTTCAAGCATTGGAGAATTGAGAGTTCATCTCACTCTCTAAAATATTTTAATAAATTTCTTTGTTAACATTTTTTCAAATAAACCATACGCAAAAAAAATATATATGTATGTAAATATCATTTTATTATTTTTTATTTTTTACTATTTTCTAGAAAAACTACACAATAGACGATGGAAGGTTCACGGTAAAGAGAGGTGTTAGGAACGCAAAAGAGGTTGGCACAGTTGTGAAGTTCAATGGCAAGGAAATCCAGGATGTCTGGAGCGGTCCTGAATGCAACGCCCTACGGGGGACCGATTCCACTATCTTCCCACCCTTCATCGACGACAGCGAGGACATCGTGTCATTCGCTCCTGATCTATGCAGGTAACATGGATTCTGATTATTGATACAAAGATTATAATTAATCATGACGTTGAACGTATTTACAATATTTCTATTACTTTTTTTTAATTATTAGATAATTTAGATGTTTACAAAACATAAATATAATCCAAACTATAAAGCCATGAGTCTGAAACATACAGGTGAACAGTTAACTTGCTAACGTTCCGCCAATTCAGGGATAGTCAAAAAACAAGATCAGGCGTAAGCAAAAAGAAAAGATTTTTTTTGACGAATCACCAAGCCATCCAAAAATACATACTGTAGGAAACAGGAAAGGAAGGTTATATAAAACAGCTGATTAGCACAGATAAAAAATTTTTTTACATTTTTATATAACATTTTTTTTAAATCTCTATAAAAATATTCGGCAGTAAACTGTTATAAAAAAACCTTTGTCACTTTAATGTCAGGTGCGGATGAAGGTCTAAAGAGAAGGAAAAAAAGAAAAACAAAATAATCTTCGGTTTAAGACTTTCAGTTCTTGTTATGAATTGTAAATATTTGTATTCTAAAATAAAATTAAAGTTGCATATTTAGATTTGGGAGCCCAAGACATTTAGAGAGACATTCTTGTCTTACAATCCGTGGTAATTGAAACAAGGCAGAGAGAGGCTATCCTTTCCAGTCCCTGGAATATCAGTTTCGTAATTTTTTATCAGACAATCTGCTGATTGATAACAGTCTATACTCGTAGGTGCAGACGAATATTTGACGATAAATAAAGTTATTTCAACTTCAGCGCCGACATTTCTGAAATCAGCAGTCCCGCTATTTGTATCAGTCATGCGGTATTGTATCTGTAGCTGTTGAAGGAGCAGACGGGCTGAAGGATGTAATATTACAGTTGGATATTTTTATCAACTGTACATTTTGTAAGTATATTATTAACATCAAACATTGTAGTTATAAATTAAAATTATTCGCGATACTAAAATTTAAAAATAACTATATATCTTTAAAATCCAAAAATCTAAATTTAAAAACTCATATGGAGGAGACTGAAAAGGAGCTGGATGAGAGATCTCCTTTCCAGATTTTATGATGTAAACAGACAAGGGATGAGGTGCTGCTGGGTTCCACTCTTCTCCATGTCTATCATGCCATTTTCTACCTGACAACAAATCTGTTGTCACTATCATAACAGGTGCGGATGAAAAATTGAAGACCAAAAAAAAAAAAAAAACTCAACATAAAATTATGACTTACAACTAGCATCTTGGTCTCTTCTTCTTTTCTGGCATCACGACCCACAAGAGTCACAGCCTGCTCCAACAAGGATTGCTAGGCCTCTCTATTGCGTCCCACCGCCTTCCAATTCCTTAAACCAAGTTTTTTTTACTATCTGTAGCACGCATTTCTTTCAACGAATCTTGGGACCTCCTACTCACCTTGCACAATACACTTGCTCCGACAAAATTTCAACGGAATCTCTCTCTGGTTCATTCTAAGAAAATTACCAGGCCAGCGGCGTTGTGCGAATTTAATGGAGCTATAGCTTTATATATCTCGATTGATTCGGCATTTGTACGTATTCTCCAGCAGCCCTGCTCAAACACACCTCCATATATTCTGCGGAGCAATTTACTTTCGAATCTCAGAAGGGCTTGTTCTTGGGCTTTGTACCGTGTATGTGTATATACTGTGAGTAGATACATGACTGTGCAGTCATTTATCTACTTAGGGTGCCCTTTCAGTGTGAACGTATTGTGAGACATATGCACCTTCCTCTGGTGCTCCAGATCTCATATATTTGATTTTATCAAAATTTATCCTTAGACCTAAGCTTATCGCTGATTTATCCTGTATCTCAAAAGCTTCTTCACTGCTTTAAGAGATATTCCTTCAAAGCCCAAGTTATCCGTAAATCCAAAAACTTGAGTTGATTTTTTTATAGTGTTTTTTCTGTGTAGATCTCCAAACCTTTGATTATTTTTTCTAGGGAAAAGTTGAGTACAAGACAAGGCGATCCACTTACCTAACCTCCGACACTTTTTTTAAAACCTCTGCACAATTTTCCATATTTACTTTTATTCATCTTGGTATGTGACTAACTAATAAACACGGACATACTAATATTACGTATGGCTTCAGCTGTATCACGCTCCCACGAATATTTTTTTTTAACTTTATTTTTTTAATATTAATACATTCTGCCACATTGAAGGGCATCCACGAATATTAGGTTATATATAAATATAACTAATTTGCATCTTCTATACTTCTGTTATAAATATAACTACTTTATACTTTTTTTTATTTAATATTGAAAGTGGCCATCAAGATTTGTTGCCAAATCCTACTGTAATTATTGAAGAAAGTTTTAATCAAATGTGAAATGTTACTAAATATAGTCCTGGTGAAAGTCGTTCCCTTCCGCTTTATATACCTTTCCCCGTAATAGAGTATTCAATTGCGATGATGATGTACTAAAAATAAACGGTATGGGAAAGCTTCGTCCCCCGACATCCAGATTAAAAACATAAAATACAGCTACAATATTATCTCAGTGATCACTTGTGGTATCACGTCCAAACCATTTAGCCACAAAATGTGATCTATATTTAGCGGGAATCGCTATTGATAAGGCCCTGTTTTCTACTAAATCCATGTACCCATCTATATATGAGCATAGATGATAAATTTATCAAATTCACTTTATATCATTCGTAATGACAGTATAAAATATATTTTCTGAATAGTTAATATATCTTTTCATATTGTTATAAGTTTTATGTTTTCGATATTTTATTTTAATTACATAATTCTTCTGAACAGTAGAAAAAACACCAATAAAGAAGTTCTTATAGAAAATGGTCAATCGATATTCCGTGATATGAAGAGATGGAGGTTTAGATGGGTGGGGTACCCTTTCATTCCTAATGTCTGCGTAGAATTTGCGTATATCTCTAGGCCACCAGTTGTTCTCAACGGTTTGCAATCTTTCTTTGAGGAATTCCCTTTTTGCTGATCTTATAGTTTTGTTTGCCTTTTTCTTGGCAGCTGTGTACCTGTCCTGACTAACTTGATAAGTTGTAGTTAGACAGTGGACTTTCATTTTACTTTTTTCCTCTACTGCCTTGTTGCATGCTTCTGTGAATCATATCTTAGCTTTTTGTTTACCCTGAACACTGATCACTTCCTTAGCTGTTTCTTTTAGTCCTTTCTCTCTTTCCTCCCAGTTTTGGTCTACCATGAGGCTATCCGAATCCAAGGGTTCAAATTTATTTTTCAGCTAAAGGTGGAATTTGGTTTTTACTCCAGGATTTTTTAAATTACGGACTTCATACCTCCTTTTTTCACTCGATCTCCTGTTGTGTGAATTCACTTCAATCTCTGACATAGTTTATTTCTAATCACAGAATGATCCAAATCGCAGTCTGCTCCACGATAGCTTCTTACATCTTGTATTGAGCTCTGATGTCTCTTGTCTACCAGCACATATAATAACCCCATCTGAACTGAAATCATAGGCGAGAGTAACATGTATTTTCTCTAAAGATCGAAATCCACAGCTATCATTAATTTGACAATAAGCAGATGAACTGTTGTGAATTTGGAAATGTCGCACAATAGGCAAGAAGAAGAATAGTAGCACCTCTTCGCAGTGAATATTTTCTTCCTTAATTCAGAAAAGGAGATCCCTCATGCAGTTCCTGTATTTTTGAGTCTGCTGTAGTTTAATTTGAAACCGAGAGTAGAGAGTACGTATGTGTTGGTCGATAGTAGATTGGTATGTAATGTTTTATTATTTACATGCCAGGAAGGTAATATTATTATTTTTAAAATTTTGGATTAAATCATGTGTCTCATTTTTATTAAATTGAAAATCTGTGAGGCGTATGTCCATATGGGTTTGAGTAGGTGAGCGTACCTATTTAGTTTTTGTCTGATTTTCAATTTTGATTTGAAAACAAATGAGTATAGTATTTTGAATAATGTATTTCGTTTCATTTTTACATGTGGGCTTCGTGTCATTCTTCTATCTAATATCAGTCCGAGATAACAAACGGTGTCTGTCTTCAAAAACACTTGAGACCTTTTTTAGCCAAAACGCTTAAGTATGGAAATATTTCTAGATAACTTTCAAACTAGAGATTGTTGAGATTAAAAAACTCTTGGGACCTCTTTGAAGCGATAACTAAGTTTTTAAATATCGACTACAGCCATAAATAAACTTAATATTTAATTTGATTGATTCGAGTGGTTAGTGGTAAAATATTTTGTCTTACCAGTATCTAAAGCGTTCATAAAAAAAATGAAATTTGGAATAGGTAAAAACAACACTCGGAAAGTGAGGTCAACAAATAATGCCATCATAGGGAACTAACCTGCACTTGCATAAACATGAAACATTTATTTATTTCACTGTTTGGAAATATTGCAAGGAATAAATTAGTCATAGCTTGCGTCATTCCAGCAAACAAAACATTTTATACGCCGTATTTTATTTTTTACTTCAGTTTTGCCTATCGAAATTGGTTATTTTTTGTCCTCTATTCACCAGGAAATAATATATCGAAACGAATATATTTAGATCTCGTGCTATAATTTTAAATATATCAAAGAGAGCTATGTAAATTGTTCTATTTATTTAGACTCCGCTGTGCTGCAATTCCTCTCCGCCCTCCAACCTTCAATGCTTACTTATCTAAGAACATATTGTTGAGAGGCTGGGATACTGTGTTCATTATAAGAGAGTTTCAAAGAAAAATAGTGTTATAATAAGCTACCTTTCTAGCAACAGGATTTACAAAAAAAATTTCAGTTGAACGTAGTCTAAATCACTTCACCGAAACATAATTTGTTTCATACCAATTTTATTTTTTTATTATGCCTCTCTTCTTCATCTTCCGCCAATAGAGTTCTAGCAGCCCAGTACGATTCTAACTTGGAATGTGTTCTATTTCTTATTCCTATTAAGCGAGAGTGTCTGCCACTCCTATTTTATCCGTGATGTTTCTTTATGTATTTATGTCCAGTGAACATACGAAATTCTGCTACCACATCCTTTCTCGGCAGATCAACTGGTAACCTTTTTTCTTCAATTTACAATCCGCTCCAGCGCTTCCTAATTGTAATTATTTTAAATAATTCCAGGAATACAAAGTGTTTCGCATTTATTATTTCTTCGCTAGATCTTTAGAATCTGCTTATCCGGCAGCTATATATTTGTTCCTCCTTTGACCAGAGTATCTGCTATTTTATTTCCGTGGATATAAGAATGGCTTGGAAGTCAGTGAACGATTATATTTCTGCCCTGAAGAAGTAATCCTTCAATGATATATTTGCATTCCAAAATATCTGGAGCATAGTAATTTTTGGTTTGGGTTACAGTGAGTACAGCCGCTTGATAGTCTACTAGCAGTGCAATTGTTTTAAACCCCCGTGTTGGGGAGGGCTTGCAACGCCAAAGAAATCGCGTGAATTTCACTATCGAAATATGTTCTCAACTTCCCAACTAGTTTCGAAAAGGCAAACATTGTTAAGTACGCGACAGTCCCTCAATTGTGTACAGCTTGTTCGGCAGAACCATCGGTGTACACATGAATCCACGGAGGGCTGAGAAAACGTCCACTTACCGTCTCCAGAGACAATGATCTTAATTCCTCTGTAATAGTATCTTCTTTTTTAACGGCTATAATAAGGTTCATGTTGTATGATGCTGTTGTTTCATACCAAATAATTATAATTATTATTTTAAAATCGAATATTTCCATATGACTGCTAGCTGTTTATATTTGATATATATTTTGTTTAGGTCTCTTGGCGCCAAGTTCAAACATAAAATAGTCTACAAAGGAATTCCTGGCAACCACTACACTGCTGATCTAGGCGATATGTCATCGAATCCGGAAGAAAAATGTTTTTGCCCAACTCCAACGACATGTCTGAAGAAGGGTGCTTTTGACATTAGCAAATGCGTCGGTAGGTGTCACAATGCTTTATATGAATTGTTGTGATTCATAATAACGTTTTATTCAATGATTTAATACATTTAATTTAATGTTTAATGCCGGTGACAACTTCGTCTTCATTACATGGTAATGAAAATGTACAGTAGGACGTAAAAGAAATCGGAGAACAACAACAAAAATAATTATAGAGCATTATTGTTATGTATCGTATATCATATTTCATATTATTGGGTTTTTGGAATTTGGTAGTAAGAAACACCCCCTCCTCGAAATGATTTAGCAGGAAATAAATGAGATCATTTGTGTTGGGCCATACTGAGATTATTCCGTAGTCTATATTGGACGTTAAAATATAGTGTGTTCTAAATGATGGCAAACTAAATAAAGTGATACCTTTAACTAGCAGAAAAGGACAGTAGTGTAGAAGAAAATTGCATAGAAAAGAATGATGTAAGAATAAATTTAAGACTCACATTGTGTTAATATTTATGCTAATAAGAAAAATAAATAAAAAGTTAATTAAATGAAAACGATTCAGTTAAATAAACAAAAAGCTTAATGAAAGATAGAAGGAATGAAATATTTAATTAAAAGGGACATAAAAAAATGATGAAATAAGTTAAAAAAATATAAAATTTATCCATAAAATAACTAAAGAAGAGAGTTCCTCCAGGGAAGGGGTTAGAAATTATAAAATAAACATAAAAATAAAAACGAACATTAAAATAATAGTTAGTGATGTAAGATATGGAATTAAAATAACTGAAATAACATAAGGGAGTAATAGTGAAGGTAAATAAAACTTTGAACACTTGACAATGAGAAATGAAGATGTTAAATAAATGAAATTGTAAGCTAAAATAGATGTAGAAGAAAGATGTTGACAAATGAAGTTAAATGTAAAATAACTGGTCTTTGAAAATGTCTGTTGAACGGTGGATACTGATATTTGAATATAAATGTCCAAATAGGTATGAGTATAAAGATCACACTGACAGTATAGAAGCCTTACTAAATATTTGTTTTCAATTTATTATAAATATCAAAAAGTACCTTACCATATTATCCAAAGTTCCCAATGGATCAAAGTGGGATCAAACATATTTACAATAGATTTTTAGTTCGGTGAAGACTGTCATTAATAACAATACTTTAATTTTTAAAACCTAAATATGTGATAAGTATTCAATGGTAACCATTGCATTTGAGAAGTTTCCAGTAAGAATTACGAAATATCTCGAAAATAGTACATTGTAAGGCTTTAAAACGTAGGGCCGCTTCAAAATCTTCAAAACACACCTTTTCACGTCTTGATTTGTCGACTTTTTAAAGCTCTCAATATTTTCATGATTTTATTATTGTAGTAGTATGGTTTTAAGCTTTGAAATTGGCATTCGACCTTTCCTCCTGAAATTCTCTTCCTTTTAATACCTCATCAACATGCACCTGAGAGTCTGCATTGGAATCTATATAAGAAGAAAAGTAAATTTTATTCTGAGATATTTAGAAGACAATAGAGAAATAATTAATTAACATAATTGGTTATATAATTATGTTAATTAACTAATATTAAAAATAACATTGCACAATTAAACTTATTTATATTTTAGATAAATATACATAAGTTTGTTCATATATTTGTACAAATAGACAATGTAGATTGATTGCTGAAAAGGTGGAAGAATTAATGGTGTTTAAATGAGGTTAAGAATTTGCGCATGGAGGTGAATAAGGAATTCCAAAACAACATAGCACGCATGACAAAGGATTTTTTAAAGGATACAGTTCTATGAGAAGGAATCAATAGGTTTGTGGGCTGGGATCTCGTGTTAAACGAATTTAAAAAGGAACAAGGAGTAAACAAATTAAGTAGATAAGATTGCTTTTTGGTTGTAAAGGTTCGGAAAAGGAATACACCTAGAAAATATTGTCGTCGGAAAACTAGATGTAGCTCTCTATACTACTTATGAAATATAGTGTTCATAGATGCACTAAATAAGTGATGGTTACAAATGTAGCAACAAGCAAATCTACTAACATTCATATGTGAGCACTTCAAATACATGGAGTAAGTTTCTAGCAAATTTCATTTATAGTGAATTTAGATTATTAATGTTATGTACAGTCAGTTATTCGTTTCAAAATATGCGCAAATTTAAATGAAAATAAAATTACAATGGAAATTATATTGATAGAACTAAAAATAAAGATAGAAAGGTTTAAAGTAAATTGATTCGAAGTTGGACTAAAAATAGCATATGCCAGGTACGAAACCTTTTTAGAAAGTTCTATTTCTTCGAAACTTTTTGTAATAAAGTTCTTTGTTTATTATACAAGTTTAAATTTAATGTGAATTCAAGTTCTTAAAATGTTTCATTAAATGATAAATAAACAGTAATTAGACTTTATAAATAAACAGTAATTTATTTTAAATGAATTATTTGTTTCTAATACGTCGTCTGTTGAAGCAGCTAAGAATCAGTCATTTTTACGTCAACATTTTGGCTTAATTAACAGAACGTTTGAATAAATTTATTTTTTAGATAAAAGTTCCTTAACTTGATTAGTTCCAAGGAAAAAATTTCTAGTTTCAGTAATAAATGAAAATTCTAAAAGTTAATAAAAGTTTTATAACAGAAAAAAATAAAATAAATATTCCATGTATAACGAAACTGGTCATTAAATTATTGATATCATTATTATTACTATATAATTAAGACGAAGTATTAAATTATCGACTGACTTGAAATATCTCGGTACCCAATACAATCATGGCAGCAAAGAAACTAGGAAAAGTTTACAATATGTTCAAAATGGAATAATTAGGAAAATAGTAAGAGGGACCACGATGCAGAGAATACAGTAAGAGAATGTCTCACTAAACGTAAAAAATCATTTTTTGAAAAATATTAACGTTTGGCCCCCCTATAAAACGATATAAACCCCTATAAAAAAATCAAAACCCCTTTTTTTCAATAGCTTGATACCAGCAAACATCGCAAAACATTGGCAACAAATAACACAAGTTTAGTTTTTTTATTGTTAAGTTATACGAGCCAGAGGATAAAGTATACTCAAACCTGAGATGAGCCTCATTACCTATTTATTATATTTGAAATATAGACAAAATTCACAGAAATGAAAAATAGAAGGACAGCACACCTTAAAATTATTTTTAGCAGTTGAAGAATTATGAAAGGGTCAGAAAATTACTAGGATTAAAGACAATGATATTTAAAAAGGGGTCATGAAAAAAAAAAATTGAAAATAAAAGCTAAACTTTTATTTCAAGCCACGATGTAAACAATTCGCTTACCGCAAACGGTCAGACGTTTAAAATAAAATTAATGTAATATTTTAGCTGCAGGATGAAAATTGGACTCATGACTAATATTATATATAAATCCCGGTCATGGATCAAAGTATATCCGCTTAAATTAACTTAGAAAGTAGTTTGATGCGTTGGTTCATTTCTAAGTACGGTATCGTCGAGTTTTCCATTGAAAAGAACTACGAACGCCATTTCCTCAAGAGTTCTGGAGAGCTGTGCTCAACAACTCCCCTATTTAGCTTACACTCCATCCGCGATTTCCACTTTCCGTTCATCAATTTGTTTTCAGTTTTTTTTTTTTATACCGCGTTCATAACTACTTCTCTCAAGAAGTCAAAAATACTAATCACAAGAGCCTAATCAATAGAAAATAATATTTAATTTAATACAAAATATGCTGCTTCTCATACCTGTCATTTTTCAAGAATATCTAAATATCGTATTTAGTGGAATCCTAATAAAATGTTATTAAAATAAAGCATTTTTTCACAAATACTTAAATATACAAACTGAGTATTTATTAAAATTTAATTTAAAAAATTAAACAACTACTAAGTTTTCTAACACCGTCCTAAACATCCATTATAAGGGATATTCATGAATTTTTGCTATTTTCTATTTTTCCAATATAAATATAGACTTAATTTGACTGAATTCGTGACTTCCATGTGTTGTAGAGGTTTCGATTTTTTCAGTTAATATTGCTTTGTTCTCTCATAGATTTCTATTTATATAAAAAAAAAAATACATGAAATTGCAATAGCTTATATTTAATTCACAAGCTAGAGAAGGAACCACAAGGTATAATGTTTGAATTGAAAAAAAAAACACCGTGGTACTCATGAGAGTGATAAAATAATGATTTTATTACATTATGAAGTGAATATTATTATGTTTGGATTTTCAATAATCCCGTCGTTCAACTACTCCGTTTAAAAACTGTAACACCACACAGGACATAAACACCTCACCCTTGTAGTTAAAATAAAAATTCTTTCCACATTTTCAGATTGAAGGGATATTGTAAGAACAGCTAATTTGTTCTATCTATCTTGAAAATATTAGAAACCCAATGAGCAAAACCTATTCGTACACTGTAAAAAGAGTGTTTTGCAAAATATGTGAATTTTTTTCTAAATGTCAAACACACTTTTTTAAAGTGATGTGGGCGTTTTAAAAATCTATATTCAATAATGTAAGATGACGTTCATGGCATTTACTTTTTTTTCTTTTTTTTTTACAATTCATGAGGAAACTATGGCTTCTTTTTTGGATTAATGAAAAAAAAACCACTAATGAATTGTCAAAGTTCATAGGTTTATTTATTAACAATATGGTGTAAAACTTCATATCAATAGTGACAAGTATGTTTATTATTTAAACGAGAATTATTGTACACCAGCACAAGATGCAGACCAGTTGACCTTCCTCAATGAGATGGTAATGGTTAAACTCCTCGCGGCGACTGACTTTATCGGCAAATTTAGACCGAGATTCAATGTTGGAGGATTAGCATAATGGCTCTTCATTATCATTCAGTGTAATGTTGGTCACCAAAGGTTATTTATCAAATGAAACTGCATCTGTTGAGCTAGTTACATAATCGTCCATTCTGATTTTGTATCATCCATCTGTAACCATCAATTTGAATAGTTAAATGACTAGATCCAATTCAGTAA